GGTCAACTGTCACGCCGTATGAAGCTTTCTTCAACGTCCGTCCTAACGTCAGTCATCTTCGAGTTTTTGGGTGCGTCGCCTACGTCCATGTACCTGACGTCAAACGCGACAAGTTCGATCCGGTGAGCAGGCGTGGAATACTTGTCGGATACGGGAACGGTGGACAGTATCGTGTACTATACGAGGACGGCATTATTGCCGTAGTTTCTAACGTTCGTTTTGATGAGTCTAATGTCGGCCGGCAGCGTAATGCCGGGGACTCCGATTATGAGTCCGATGCCGACGAGGAGGAGGAGTTTCGCACTAGTTTATCTGGTGATCGCTGCCTAGGGCTGGCGAAGGGACACCAGGTAGCACCGTCGGCGAGGGATCGCCGCATTTGGGTGGCGAGGGGGCGCCGGCTGGGGCTGGACCTTCCAGCAGTGCGAACGGGCAAGGAATTAATCAGCCTGATGTGGAAATGGCAGGGACCCGGTATCCAGTTAGAGAACGTAAACGCCCTGGCGAATGCTGGCGAAACGAACCTGGTCGCACTGTTACTGGTCGCGTTAACGTTGCTTACTCTGCTGATATTTCGGAACCTAATTCGTTTGCGGAAGCCATTGCAAGTCCACATGCAGACGACTGGCGGCGTGCGATGGACGAGGAGATCGCCGCCCAGATGGCTAATAGTACTTGGGAGCTGAAGAAGCCACCTCCTGGTACTCGTTTGTTGCCGTGTCGTTGGGTATAAAAGGTTAAGTACAGCGATGACGGCAGCGTGGAGCGCTTTAAGGCGCGTTTAGTTGCCAAGGGTTTCGAGCAACGCGAGGGGATTGATTATGGGGAGTTGTTTGCCCCTACCTCTCGTGGTTACGTGCTTTATTAGCAGTTGCTGCAGCGCGGAACATGACGGTGCATCAGCTAGATGTGTCTACTGCGTTTCTGAATGGTGAGCTGAAGGAGGAGTTGTGGATGGAGCAACCGCCTGGATATGCATCCAGTGACCGGTCGCTTGCATGCAAGCTGCAGAAATTGATTTACGGTTTGAAGCAGGCACCCCGTTGCTGGTATGAAAAGCTATCAGCAGAGTTCGCCAAGCTGGGTCTTTATCCTTCGAAGTCTGATCCAGCGATGTTTGTTAAGACTGACGAGCGTGGGGTTGTTATTGCTTTGGTGCACGTAGATGATACCATTGTTGCGTCGGAAGACCCGGAAATGGTCCGGGCAATTAAAGCCGCAATTGCGAAGATCTTCAAGGTGCGTGACCTTGGAGAGCGAAGGTGTTTGGGGGCATGGAAATTAGGAGGGAGAAGTCGGGTGAGATAGTGTTGTCGCAGCATAGGTACATTGAGAAGCTATTGGAGCGTCATAAGTTGGTTGACGCCAAGCCGAGGTCTACCCCTTTGCCTCCGGGCTTTAGGTACACTCCTACGGGGGACGGAGAAAAGCTGCTGGACAATCCCACGGAGTATAGGGCTTTGGTGGGGGAATTGAATTACCTAGCGACGAACACGCGGCCTGACATTTCATATGCATTGAGCGTTTTGTCCCGGCATATGGCCGCACCCACGAAGTGTGCTATGAACTTAGCAATTGGCGCTCTGCGTTACCTGGCTGGTACTCGCGAACTAGGATTGCGTTTTGGGGTTGTTGGTGACATTGAGATGTCCGGGTATAGCGATTCTGACTGGGCAGGAGACCCAGTTACGCGGCGTTCTACTTCCGGTTACGTATTCACTCTTAATGGGGCTGCGATTAGCTGGAGCAGCCAACTTCAACGTACTGTGGCGGCTTCGTCGGTGGAGGCCGAGTATCAAGCGACAGCGGCAGCTGTTCGTGAGGCTTTGTGGCTTCGCAAGCTGATGGTTGATTTGGGTTTGCCTGAGAGCGCTATCAAGATCCAAATAGATTCCCAGGGGGCGCTTAGCTTAGGAAATAACCCAATTACGTCTGCTCGGTCGAAGCACATCGACGTGCTGCTAGTGCGTGAGAGGGTGAATAGCGGTGAGGTGCAGTTGGAATACTGCCCTACGGAGTGGATGGTTGCGGATGTTCTAACGAAGGCTCTGGGCGAGGTGAAATTCAAACGTTGCCGAGATGCGATGGGCCTTGTGTGAAGTGTGCAGATGAACATGGTACTCGTTGGGATACGGCCCGAGGGGGCGTGTTGAGGAAACGGTCCTCTCCCAATTCGTGTGGTTGTCGACCATGGGATTTGACCCCGGGTCTGCGCCTGACTAATGGGGAAGACTTACCCCAGAACCTTATGGGGCTACCGATGCGTATCCGGTAGCTAAGTGATAGACATTAGGGCACCGTCAGGACAGCGCAGTGAGATCGCGGAATGTACGTGCAGTTAGATCGCGGAATGTACGAGTTTTCTGCTAGCGCCGGTATTTAGGGCGGTGACTGCGCTTATTTGTTTATCTCACTACGATCGGTATTCCTCAAAGGAATCTCCTCAAGTCCTGCCGAACGCTAATAATACTCTTTACATAACTTGTAACATTTTATCGTGCTAAATATCTTCGCCACCGGCAATTCTTCCGAGATAACAATCTGCGTTTGTTGGAAATGACCGACACTCATATACCAGTGAATGGTAGCCACAGTAA